TTTGCAGCAACATGGATGGAGCTGGAAAAGATCATGCTTAGTGAAATAAGCCAGAAAGAAAAGGAAAAATACTGGATGGTTTCACTCATAGCAGGAGTATAAAGGACCAGGGGAGAAAATAATAATAATGTTGAACAACTATATACCAGAGACATTTTACGAGGGTGGAGTGGGGAATGACATCAAAAATGGTGGGTGGGAGAAGGGGACACTGGACTATGGTGATGGCACATGGGTGAATTGGTGGTGGGAAGCCCACAGGGATTACAACTGAGATGGAAAAAGACACAAAATTATGTTAAAAAAAGTTGTTCACACAGTAAATTTGTGTTGTGTGATTTTTTACTATAATTTTTAAATTGAAAAAACTTAGTTATCTGATGATTAAAGCTGCTTTACAAGGAGGTTCTCCTTAACCTATTATTCAAAACCTTTTTTTATAAATTTATTTTCAGTGTTCATTTTTATGCAGAGTTTGATTTATCCTCTTAGATGTAGTCGTCCCAGTTCTCTCATTTCTATGGCACCTGTGATCCATCACCATGATCTCTTGGGCTCTTCTTTCCTCTGTTTTGGAGCTTTTTTCTTCCCCTACCCTGCTCTATGCCTCAGATAATCAGTTTCTAAGTCTCTTCTTTTTTCCCCCATTGATCCTTTGTTTGGTTCTCTCTATTTCACATATAAGGGGAATAATCAGATATTTATTTTTCTCCTTCTGACTTAATTTGTTTAGCATAATCCCTTCTAGCTCCATCCATGTTGCTACAAATGGCATGAATTTATCCTTTTTGATTCCTGAGTAATATTCCTTTACTCAAAATCATTTTAAAAATTAAATATCCCATTAGAAAAGTAACAGATTCCAATATCCCAAACATTCCATCATTAACACATCCGCACTGATTTCCAGCTATCAGCAGTTCCCTGGCTGATGATAAGAGTCCCTTCTCTGACAAGATCCCTTCCTCTCCCTTACCCACACACATCTCTCCCTTCTTCCCTACCAGCCAGGACTGCTTCCTTCCATACTTACAATGGTCTCAATCAAATAATGACAGA